GTTAATTTTAGACAAAAAAAAAAAAGAGGGTTTACAATCATATTAATTGATTTTGAAAGTAATATTTTAACCCAAAAAAAATTAATACAAAACAACTAAAATAATTTACACAAAAATCATTGGTCCGTGAATAACTTTATATAAAGCGAAGTATAAAACTAACCTTGATTTTTGGAAGATAGACTTTAATTACAAAATACACATTGGGTTTTGAAAGAAAACAAAATATCAATAGAAATATAATTTTTGTTAATTGTAGAAAATGTTAAAAGTTTTGAATATTTTCATACAAAAGAATAGTAAAGTAATTTATTTGTATAGCACACACATCCACGAAAAAACGGAAGAAAATCCGGTGGCGCCCAAATCACTGCAGTATATATAATAATCTTTAAAAACAAATATAAAATAATCAGAGCAATTCTCAATCTTTTTTATTATTATTAGTTCTTCCCAAGAAGGCAAGGCAACAACAACAAACGAGAAGAAAGAGACAGAGAGAGAAAGCAAAAAAACTCAAAGTTCAAGGTCATCCCTTTCTTCAACCTCTGAAGCTCCGGCTACAGTAGTCACCACCATTGTCTTCTCCGGTTAAAGTTTCAAGCTTTGGGAGTTTCTCAAATGGGAGAGGAGAGAGTGTGAAGAAGAAAGCTTCACATGGGATTGTTGTTATCTTATCTACAGTTATTGCTCTTGATGCTCTTGTTCTGCAATGGTTTAGTGTAGAAACTAAGCAATCACAAAAGCCCTTACACATGCGTCTTGTCTCCTCAAGGTTCAACAAGGAAAGATAAGAACACACTTTGCTTTCTTCCTCATCATCTCAGTAACACAGACCATCACCACAAACCAATCATTTTTCAACAAACGCTTTTCCTAAACCTTTCACCTTCGTTTTCTTCCCCAGAGATTATTTCCATGGAGAGAGGAGGACAACCTCATTTTTACTTCTTGTTTTTGTTCTTGTTTTGTTCATGGGTCTCCATGGTCCAACCCACTCTTTCTCTTTCATCAGATGGCCAAGCTCTTCTCTCTCTCAAGAGACCATCACCATCCTTGTTCTCTTCATGGGACCCACGAGACCAGACACCATGTTCATGGTATGGCATTACATGTTCTGCAGACAACAGAGTCATCTCTGTCTCTATCCCCGACACTTTCCTTAACCTGTCTTCAATCCCAGACCTCTCTTCTCTCTCCTCTCTTCAGTTCCTAAACCTCTCCTCCACCAACCTCTCTGGTCCAATCCCTCCTTCGTTTGGAAAACTCACCCACCTCAGGCTTTTAGACCTTTCTTCAAACTCTCTCTCTGGTCCAATCCCAACAGAGCTTGGCCGCCTGGCTTCTCTCCAGTTCCTTATCTTGAATGCCAACAAGCTCTCTGGCTCAATCCCTTCACAGATTTCAAATCTATTTGCCTTGCAAGTTCTTTGTCTTCAGGACAATCTGTTGAATGGTTCGATTCCTTCAAGTTTTGGCTCTCTGGTCTCTCTTCAGCAGTTCAGACTTGGAGGTAACCCTAATCTTGGAGGCCCTGTCCCTGCGCAGCTAGGGTTTCTGACAAATTTGACAACTCTAGGATTTGCAGCCAGTGGTTTGTCAGGTTCAATTCCTTCCACATTTGGCAACTTGGTAAATCTGCAAACTTTGGCTCTGTATGACACTGAGATCTCTGGTACCATTCCTCCTCAACTGGGTTTGTGCTCAGAGCTGAGGAACTTGTATTTGCACATGAATAAGCTCACTGGATCCATCCCAAAGGAACTGGGTAAGCTCCAGAAGATCACTAGCTTGCTTCTGTGGGGGAATTCTTTATCTGGGGTCATCCCACCTGAGATTTCCAACTGTTCCTCCCTTGTGGTGTTTGATGTTTCGGCCAATGATCTGACCGGTGAGATTCCTGGGGATTTGGGGAAGCTTGTTTGGTTGGAGCAACTTCAGTTGTCAGATAATATGTTCACAGGGCAGATTCCTTGGGAACTAAGCAACTGTTCCAGCCTCATTGCTTTGCAACTGGATAAGAATAAGTTATCAGGCTCCATCCCATCCCAAATTGGAAGCCTTAAGTCTCTGCAGAGCTTTTTCTTGTGGGAGAACTCGATTTCAGGAACAATTCCGTCTTCATTTGGCAATTGCACAGACCTAGTGGCCTTAGACCTCTCTAGGAACAAGCTAACAGGAAGAATCCCAGAAGAGCTCTTCAGTTTAAAGAGGCTCAGCAAACTTCTGCTTCTAGGAAACTCCTTATCCGGTGGATTACCCAAGAGTGTAGCAAAATGTCAGTCACTTGTGAGGCTAAGAGTGGGAGAGAACCAACTTTCAGGTCAGATACCTAAAGAGATAGGCGAGTTACAGAACCTGGTGTTTCTTGATCTCTACATGAACCATTTCTCTGGTGGGCTTCCTTACGAGATCTCTAACATCACTGTCCTTGAGCTCTTAGATGTGCACAATAACTACATCACTGGTGATATTCCTTCTCAGCTGGGGAACCTTGTGAATCTAGAGCAGCTTGATTTGAGCAGAAACAGCTTCACCGGAAGCATACCGCTGAGTTTCGGCAACTTAAGTTACTTGAACAAGCTGATCCTCAACAACAATCTCCTCACTGGTCAAATCCCTAAATCCATCAAGAATCTACAGAAGCTTACACTTCTTGATCTTAGCTACAACAGCTTATCCGGCGAAATCCCACAAGAACTCGGCCAAGTAACAAGCTTGACAATAAATCTCGATTTGAGCTACAACGCCTTCACTGGAGACATCCCCGAAACCTTCTCAGGCCTCACGCAGCTACAATCACTCGACCTCTCACGCAACTCGCTACACGGAGACATCAAAGTCCTCGGTTCACTCACAAGCCTAGCTTCACTAAACATCTCCTGCAACAACTTCTCAGGTCCAATCCCAGCTACACCATTCTTCAAAACAATCTCCACAACATCATACCTCCAAAACACAAATCTCTGCCACTCACTAGACGGCATCACTTGCTCATCACACAACGGACAAAACACCGGAGTAAGATCACCAAAGATCGTAGCTTTAATCGCAGTAATCCTCGCTTCAATCACAATCGCAATCCTCGCAGCGTGGCTCCTCGTCTTACGAAACAACCACCGCTACCAAACCCAAAAATCATCTCAGAACTCGTCTCCTCCATCAACAGCAGAAGATTTCTCATACCCTTGGACATTCATACCATTCCAAAAACTCGGTATAACCGTCAACAACATAGTGAATTGCTTATTAGACGAGAACGTAATCGGCAAAGGCTGTTCAGGAGTCGTTTACAAAGCCGAGATGCCCAACGGAGAGATCGTAGCGGTGAAAAAGCTTTGGAAAACTAAAGACAACGACGAAGGAGGCGAATCAACGATTGATTCATTTGCAGCTGAGATTCAAATCCTTGGTAACATCAGACACAGGAACATAGTGAAGCTTCTAGGTTACTGCTCGAACAAATCAGTGAAGTTGCTTCTTTACAATTACTTCCCTAATGGGAATCTTCAACAGTTGCTTCAAGGGAATCGAAACTTGGATTGGGAAACACGGTACAAGATCGCGATTGGGTCTGCTCAGGGTTTGGCTTATCTTCACCATGATTGTGTTCCGGCGATTCTTCATAGAGACGTGAAGTGTAATAATATACTTCTGGATTCGAAATACGAAGCGATTCTTGCGGATTTTGGACTCGCGAAGCTGATGATGAACTCGCCGAGTTATCACAATGCCATGTCTCGTGTCGCTGGTTCTTATGGCTATATCGCTCCAGGCAAGTTTCTTTCTTTTTTTAAAAGAGGGGTGTTTTGCACTATTACAAAATATTGGGGGTTTTTTTTAAATAGTTTTATCAAATTTCATTTGAATTATTACAAGAAATTAGGGAAAATTTTAAATGAATCTGTTTAAAAAGAAATCATGGTTTTTATTTGCATTGTTACAAAATATTGGGTATTTTGATAATTTTACTGAAAGTAAGAGGCTTTTATGTTATTTATGGAGAATATGGACTATTACAAAAGAATGGGGTTTTTTAAAAATAAATATTTTAAAGCTCAGGGTTTTATTTGCATTATTACAAGAAATTAGGGAAATTTTTAAATGGATTGTTAAAATCTTTGCTTTTATTTACGGTGTTACAATATATTGGTTTTTTTGATAAATTTATTAAAAATAAGAGGTTTTTGTGTAATTTATGCAGAATATGGACTATTATTACAAAAGAATGGGGTTTTGAAAAAAAATATATATTAAAGCTCAGGGTTTCATTTGCATTATTACAAGAAATTAGGGGAATTTTAAATGAATTTGTTTACAAATTACAATCATGGTTTTATCTACATTGTTACAAAATATTGGGGGTTTTTAATTAAAGTTTTGAAAGTAAGAGGTTTTTGTGTAATTTATGCAGAATATGGATACACGATGAACATAACAGAGAAGAGTGACGTATACAGCTACGGCGTCGTTTTGTTAGAGATTTTGAGTGGCCGGAGCGCCGTGGAGCCTCAGATCGGCGACGGGCTTCACATAGTGGAATGGGTGAAGAAGAAGATGGGGAGCTTTGAACCAGCATTATCTGTACTTGACGTGAAGCTTCAGGGCTTACCAGATCAGATAGTTCAAGAGATGCTTCAGACATTGGGAATTGCGATGTTCTGTGTGAATCCGTCGCCTGTGGAGAGACCAACGATGAAGGAAGTTGTAACGTTGTTAATGGAGGTTAAGTGTAGTCCTGAGGAGTGGGGAAAAACATCTCAGCCTCTTATAAAGCCTTCTTCTTCATAACCAATGGTGATGATTGGTGTTTCTTGTTCTTGTTTCTTGATTTAGGTCAAATTTGGTTGAGGATTTGTTGGTAAGGTTTTGATTGTTCTTGTACATATGTAGAAGTAGCAATGTTAGTTTAAATGTCCTGTTGTATGGATGATTTGTTGGAATTTGAGAACATTCAGATTACAATTTGGTTACAACTTTGCATTACATGATTTGGTGTTTGAAACATACAGTTAAGAGGTGAAGGAAGATAAGAACTTGTGTTTATGAAGCCAGTACTGTTTGAATCTTTGTCTTGAGTACTCGGTGTAATCGAAGTCGATCTTGTTCACATACCCCTGCACATTTCAGAACACTTTTTTAGATTGTTGTCTTACATTATGTCTGGACTAGAGAAAGGTAGAGTCTTCTTACAGAGATGATTCCCCATAAGCCCCAGAAGAGATGGCTTGCTAATGTGTACTTTTGAGCATCCTCTAAGAGCTGTTTAATGTCTTCTTCATTTGGTTCTTTGCCTAACAAAAGAAGTCGCATTAGTCCATTAGATGTTGAAGAAGAAGGAAAGAAGGAACTCTGTTTCTTTAAGATACTGACCTGAAGAGCTGAGATAGTTATGGATGAATCTTCTTCTTTCCTCTTCTCCTGCAATTCCCAAACCAGTCAGTCAAACACAAACTTATTTGTTACTTTTTGACTTGTCGATGATCTCAAACCGGACTAACCAGTGAGTACCTGGGTATAGAGTGTAATCCAAGATATGAGGAGTGTCAGAATGATAATTTGCAGCCATTTCGCAGAAGTGATTCGCAATGTCGTATGCACCTGGGTTATAGCTAGCGTACTCGTAGTCCTGTTAGAGAATATCATATTGGTCCATGTGTGATGACATTTTAAACTTAAGGAGATTGAGAAACTTACAATGATAGTAATGGCATTGGTGTCTTCATCAATCATAATGTTACCATACTGCAAATCATTGTGACAAAACCCAATCTTCTGTTGCTTACACTCACTGTGCAGCTCATGTTCCAGCAAGTTTATCTCAGTTTCAATGTTGTCTAGACCAAACTCTACTGAATCTTCAGGTGTACACAGACTCTTGGCTTGTCTAAGCCAATTCCTGCTCATATAATTTAAAGATTCTGTTATTAGATGAAACCACTTCATGCGTCACATTAACAGAGAAAGATTAACTCACCTCATCCTATCCCAAATGAGCACATTCCTATCACCAGGGATGTTTATACCATGAAACTCTCTTAGCTTAGCCGCAACACGAGCAGATACTTCGATGTCGCGCAAATCTGTTGCCGATAACGTCTGATCAAAATTCATAAAATGCAATTGAAAATACATCATCTTGAGTCATGATCATGAACAAGGTGAAAACATAGTCCATCAAGAGCATTACTCATTATGTTCTATCTTCTCATAGGCAAATTCAGACCAAACACTATTACTATATCTTAGGAATCACAACATAAATGTATCTAATCAAATGGGTTTGGTGAATTATTGCACAAGAAACATATACATACCCTAGCATTAATAAACTCCTCGACTCTACCACCAGCAAACCGGCCAAGAAGCTTAGGACCATGACCGTAACGAGAGACAACCTCAAACGTACGAATCTCATCTGTCCTGTTGAATAACATATCACCAACTCCTTGTCCGTAAACACGAACAAGAACCTTCCTATGGCTACAATCGTTATCCTTTGTTGGCCAAGTCACCATGAAAACTTCGTTAGTCATTGCACCTTTCATGGGTTTCACTTGAAGATTCGAGAGATCTTCCATTACGTCTCCCCATTTTCTAGATAGTGTTTGAAGCACTTTCTTTAGACTGTCTGGTGATGATGAAATTGGGATCAACCCTAACGTGTCTGTACTTCTCTGTCTCTGAAATTTTAACAAGCTGCGACAAAAGCTCTGTGCTCTCAGAAACATTGGGAACTAGAACGCAACAGTTGAACAAGGACTTGTTTTAATGCCGAAATGAGTTTGAAGTCACTTGTCTCTGTGTCTCTGTGCTATATTCCAGCCGAAATTTTAGGTGCATGTCTTATAACTAAAACCCTAAATTGAAAGGATAAAAAAACAATTACGATTGAAATATGCTTATTTGATTTTTTAGATATGGAAAAAATGTCAACTTTCAAATTTAGGCAATTTAAACCACATATTTTTTATCTGGTTATTCAAAACATAAACTTGTTATTGATTTTTTTTTTTTATAATATCATATTTTGTTGAACGAATCAAAATAATTATTATATCTTCAAATCCGTTAACCGAGCAAAGAACAAACGTTTAGCCATTGTTAATTTATATCTGTTAATCAAAAACGATATTGTCTAATAAGTCGACGAAACTTGATATTTTAAAAAGTTAATTAATGCAACTTAATGTTTTAAATGGCTTACAACAAAATTCATGTTTTAAATGGCTTAAATTTGAAAATTCATTATTTTATTTTATTTCAGTTTTCCTCTAACAAAATATCTAAAATTCCCCGAAATTGGGTTTGACCGGTTGAACCGTGCAGTCCGGTTCTATGACTTTTGTTTTGTTGCTCAGTTGCTCTAACTCGCTTACTCTCTTCTCTCACTTTGGTTAGAGATCTTCGTCTGCTTCTAACGTATGATTATCAATATCCTCCTGAATATAATCTTTCTTCTTCAGCTTAATTTTGACTCACTCTCTTGTTTCTTCTAATGGTTTTAGATGGGCCGTGACATTGTTTCCAGTAGCCTAGATCAATCTCCGACACCTATGCCTGGTAAAGTTTCTCCCTTTTTAAAAAATCAACCATTGTTCCAATAAATCTCCCACTCTATGATCGATTTGATACTGTTTAGTATTAGAAAGGTTGGATTTTTATGCTTTTGTTCTTCCATTTCTAGTAGACATTGTTGTTTTGAAGCTTCTTTTATAAAACCCCTTTTTGTATTTGTGGTTATCACTCACAACAATGCATCCAAAGAAACAAAGATTGAAATTGATATCTTAAAGCAAATCTTTATGTTTATGTTGCTTGTAGAGGCGTTAGCATTCAAGAGAATTAATGATCCTATCAAGAACCAGATCAATGGTTGTGCCACAATCTGTGTTAGACAAGATGATTCAGGCCAGCTCTTGCGTGTCCTTTATGGTATAGTTGCAAAACACATCTTCATGTCTCTGTGTTTATTGATATAGCCAGGGTTTTTTTTTTCTTTTCTAGAATGATATATAGAGTAAGAATTAAATGTTGTTTGCAGAGTCTTTGATAACTGGAGGGTTAGCTGGTGTTGTGGTGGAAGCTGCTCTATATCCAATTGATACTATCAAAACTCGAGTGCAGGTACTTTCTCATCAAATCAGTCAGTGTTACGATCCCACATTCAAAGAGACTCTCACTACGACTTTGATTCATTCATAATGTTTCTTTTCTTATATAGACGAACCAATTCCTGACTTACAGCGACTAACTATAGTGGTTTGACATGTTTAGGCAGCTCGGGATGGAGGAAAGATAATATGGAAGGGACTATACTCTGGTCTTGGTGGAAACCTTGTTGGTGTTTTGCCGTAAGTATGTAGTCAAAATTGGTGAAGTAAAAAGATATGCACACATTGAAAAGTTGTGATTCTTTGCTTCAGATGAATAATGTTTTTTTATGTGCAGTGCTTCAGCTCTATTTTTCGGTGTATATGAACCAACCAAACAGAAGCTTCTGAAGGTTTTACCTGAAAATCTTAGTGCTGTTGCACATTTGGTATGTACAGTATTACCCTGGATTTCAGTTTTAAGTGATTGTTCGTGTGCTAGAGAATCTCCCTGAAAGTTTCTTATAGTTTGTTGGAGAGAAAAGGAATATCTTTAGAGCTGTATACATTAGTCTTGCTACCATTTAGTTTTGAAACCTTACTGATCTGAAGCAGAAGACCTTAGAATCTAGTTATGCTCAGTTAGAAAAGGATATATGTCTTAGCGTGTTATGTAAACTCAATCAGGCTGCAGGTGCTTTAGGAGGTGCTGTTTCATCTATTGTTCGGGTACCGACAGAAGTATGTCTCTTCCTTCTTGCTTCTTTGCTTATTCTTGTGTGTTGGCTGTAAACTTGTATAGGCTAATGGAGACTTCAACAGGTAGTTAAACAGCGTATGCAAACTGGTCAATTTGCTTCGGCCCCTGATGCTGTTCGCCTTATTATAGCCAAGGAGGGCTTTGGAGGCATGTATGCGGTATATCTGTTACTTCGTGATTTACTGTTTGCTATGTAGCAGGCACATCTTAAGTTTGTAGCTCAATTAATCACATTTTTTAAGATGAACAGACAATAAACGCTCCACGGATGTCTCAATCATATTTTCCTAAACATACAGGGTTATGGATCCTTTTTATTGCGAGATTTGCCTTTTGACGCGCTCCAGTTTTGCGTTTATGAGCAATTACGGATTGGATACAAGTTGGCTGTAAGTTTTTGTTGCTACAATCATAAGTGAAAGAACATCCGCTTTTGCAGACTAATGAAAGCGAGATATCCATATTGTTTAGAACAGGCAAGAAGAGATCTAAATGATCCAGAAAATGCAATGCTTGGTGCTTTTGCGGGTGCGGTCACTGGAGTTTTGACCACTCCTCTTGACGTAATCAAAACCAGATTAATGGTTCAGGTATGTCAAAACGATGAGTACACAGAATACTGAAAGAACATGTTCTTCTTAGCTTCAGTTCACAGGACAATAAGAAGCTCCAGTAATATAGACTTTTCCGTTTCGAATTTTGGCAGGGTGCAGGAACTCAGTATAAAGGAGTTGCAGATTGTGTTAAGACGATAATTAGAGAAGAAGGGTCGTCAGCTTTGTGGAAGGTGAACCAAATTTCTGATCTTTACCAATCTAGTTCAGGAAAACACAGTTTCTCATGTTTTTGCAGAGTTGTTTACAGTTTTGAGAATTTGTGTATAGGGAATGGGTCCAAGGGTGTTGTGGATAGGTATTGGAGGTTCCATATTCTTTGGTGTTTTGGAAAAGACAAAGCAGATTCTTTCAGAGAGAAGCCAAAAGAGTCACAATCCTTAAACAGTTTAGATTCTACTTGTGTTGTCTACATCATTCTTGTCTCTTAATGTTTTGATGAAGATGAAGTATTAAGATTCTTTACGTTTCTTTACTCGATTCTCTCTCTTGTTCCTTAGATACATTGCCATACTCTTTTGTTCAATCAGCTTCCACATTTTACTTGTATTTTATGTTAAATCTAAAACTGTAATAGTTACTGAAATTTCAACTTTGTGTGGACGTAATAAGGTTGCGTAATAAATTATGTTATCGTCATTATCAAAGTCTTAGTCCCTCAGTGTCTGCACGTTTTAATCATAGTTCAGAATTATTTAACAACTGTTTTGATTTATTTTTGAATTGATCCCTTTGTAATTGATACCCACCTTTTATACTTACCAGTAGCCTGAAAATTGAAGCTTAAGTTTTTGCAGGTTTAAGTAAAGATGATGCAGACGAAGCTACTTCTTACAGTGTCAATCATCTTGAATATTGTATTCACCATTCGTATTCTTTATTATAGCTCAGGCACATGGGATCCGACTTGGACCAATAAAGCCGCGGCCGAAGCAGAAACTGCAGCCTCTGTTTCATGCTCAGGCCATGGCAGAGCTTATGTGGACGGTCTTGGTGTTCTTGACGGCCAGGAACCTCCTTGTGAGTGCAACAATTGCTACACAGGCAAAGATTGCTCTGTTCTTCTCAAAGATTGCCCTGTCGATGCTAACTCGTATGTACAACTTTTTTTATCTAATCCTCATTTTGATCATTATGAGTTTATGACCAAACAAATTTGTAAACTATGAATTGAATTTGTTTTTTTTTATGGGTTTTTGAAGAGGAGACCCTTTGTTCTTGGAGCCTTTCTGGATGCGAGAAGCAGAGAGCAGCGCAGTTTTGGTCTCGGGATGGCACAGGATGAGTTATAGTTATCAAGATAAGACGTTTTTGTCTCGAGAGCTCGAGAAGGTCATTAGAAAACTGCATATTGTAGTGGGAAACGCTGTTACTGATAATAGATTCGTAATCTTTGGATGTGGAAGCACACAATTGCTTGCAGCAGCTGTTCATGCCTTGTCTTTGACAAACTCATCAGTATCATCACCTGCAAGGCTTCTGACTTCTATTCCATACTACGCTGTAAGTAAGCTGGCCATAACATCTTTCGAATGGTTTAAAGTTTTTGAAATTTCTGAGTCTGATCTGTCTGTGTTTGCAGATGTACAAGGACCAAGCAGAGTTCTTTGATTCAGAACATCTCAAGTTTGAAGGAGATGCGTCTGCCTGGAAGCAGAGCGAGCGCAATGATAATATGACACAAGTTATAGAGATAGTTACATCTCCGAATAATCCAGATGGAAAGCTGAAAAGAGCGGTTCTTAATGGTCCAAATGTCAAAACAATTCATGATCATGCTTACTACTGGCCTTATTTCTCAGCTATTACACATCCGGTTGATGAAGATTTGAGCCTCTTTAGTCTATCCAAGACTACAGGTCATGCCGGCTCAAGATTCGGGTGATTGAGAAACTTTTGATCTTATAGTACTCTAAACAAAGCTTTTGACTGGTGACAACTACTCACAAGGTTTTCTTGAGGCAGGTGGGGATTGGTAAAGGACAAAGCTGTTTATGAAAAAATGAACAGATATATACGTTTAACTAGTATGGGAGTTTCCAAAGACACACAGCTCCATGTTCTGAAGTTGCTCAAAGTAATGGTTAGCGATGGAGGCGGTGAAATATTCCATTTTGGCTATGGAACTATGAAGAAAAGATGGGAGACACTGAACAAGATCTTCTCCATGTCCACGCGTTTCTCGCTTCAGACAATCAAACCTGAGTATTGCTACTATTTCAAGAAAGTCAAAGACTTCACTCCTTGTAAGTTATTCTTCTAATGCAAGAAAGTGAGACTATTGGTTTGGTACTATATAAAACTTATAATTATGTGTTTGCTTTTCATTTGAAAGCTTATGCATGGGTGAAGTGTGAGAGACCAGAAGATACAAACTGCTATGAGATTTTCAGAGCGGCGAAGATAACAGGACGCGAAGGCAATGTGTTTGGATCAGACGAAAGGTTTGTGCGGTTGAGTCTCATCAGATCACAAGATGACTTTGATCACCTTATTGCTATGTTGAAGAAGTTAGTCTCCCAGGAAGATGTACCATCTGAAAACTTCCATGTTATTTAGCTGTTTGTCGTAATCGCAACGAACAAGAGATTACACGTATGTATTCTATAGACTAAGCCTAGCGATAACTAAGCCTAACGAAAGGCTTATTACGAATGTATTCTATGAAAGGTTAAAAACTAAATGCGTATTTCTTAAAAATGTAATCACTTATTAAGTATAACGGATTTAAAACCATTTGTCAGTAGAAGTAATATCCGTCAGTACCAGCGACTTGCCAGTCAGATAACTGTAAACTTATGCAGATGTTTTTTATAATTGTAGATTTTAGGTTCAGTGCCATCTTTCTCAACCAGTGTGTGAAGAGTTTATAAGTCATAAACGCAGACAAGCCTCCCATCATCACAGTAGAGATAGAAAGAATGGTTGTGAACAACCATCTTATTCCTTCAATATGCGGTATGATCACGGAAGCTGCAGCAACATAAGCAACTGCCATGGATACCACAGCCACCCAAAGCATCCTATGCGTTAGTATCAAGCAGTTCATGAGTGGTCTCGTCCTGTAAGGTATAATGCTTACTAAAAGGATTATGATGCATAAGGATGTGAACAACGCGATGTTGTTGCTTATGGAGAAGATTTTGAAGGCCAACGTTGCTCCAGCAGTCGATTTCCCTTTGTATGGACCTTCTTGATAGACACCACCAGGAGGATTAATGCCACATGTGAAGGCAACCGATGCAATCAAAACCGCGACTATTGTGATTGTGTTTCTTGCGTTCTGCAATGCTTCTTCATGCATCTTGCTTTCCTTGCTTGTATGTGCTTCATTGGTTTCAAAGATTTGCATCTTATGTTCAGACATTTTCGGAACGTTATGGTTTCTTTGTTGACGATTAGGACCAGTAGGATTTCGGATTTGTTTTGCATCAAACCTGAGCCAACGAGATATCTTACCATAATCTTCATCGTCGACATTGATAAGATCAACTGCTAACAGTCCTCGAGTGTTTTTCGTGTAGAAATCGATTGTTGTATCATAAGTGATGAAGACTATCACCTGTGTGATACATTTAATTAGAAAACATGCAAAAAAAGGAGGTGATATTTCACATTTCATATATAATTTACTCTGTTTTGAAATAACTAGATCACATGGAAGAGAGCAAGAAAAAAACTCACGGAGTAGCAGCTGGACATGACCGCAGTGTGAAGTACAGTGTTGCCATATCTATCCACCTGATGGAGAAGCTTGTTTCTATCGGAACTCTCTGCCATGAAATGGAACGCTGGCGTGTTTTTGTGTTCCGCAGCTAGATGGAAAACAGTTTCTTTCGCTGGTGTTAGTATGTCGAAAGATCTTGGAGCCTTATCCGAAAACTCCTTCAGAATTGGAATTGAGCATTTCATGGCCGCCAAATGCAAAGGTGTGAAACCATCTTTGTTGACCTTCTCTGCAAGGCTTTGATCAATCTCTAGAAGCATTTTTGTTATCTCGAGGTTGTTGGCATTGCAGGCATGATGCAACGGGGTGGACAATTCTCCATCGGCATTCCAAGCTAGATGTGGGAACTTCTCTAGCATTCTCCTTGTGATATCTGATCAATAGGTCCACCAACACATTCGATTCATATGTTTGTTTTCTTATATACTAGCTAGTTGCTACTTAGATTTAGTTAGGCATGACCACGGTTACCGGTTACGGTTTATTAACCACTAGTTAACGGTTATAATTTTCTTTAATCATAACATTAACCATTATATATCCGATTAAAGCGGTTACAGTTATATACTTTTATAATAAAAATATAAATAATGATATATTCAAATAATTTTTTTATTTTATAATATGAAATATAGATAATTATATAGTTCAATTATTTATAGTAACTTAGTTAAATATATGAGTTTTGTTTATTCAAACAAACCTACAAATAATTAAATTTAATGGTGAACCTACAAATAATTATATCAAATCATTTTTTATTGATTAACAGAAATGAGTAATAGAGTGGATTAGACTTACTAGTTGACACATTGAGCCATTTAAAACTCTATTTCAATGAAATCATTTATATTAAAAGCTTACCCGTACGGTTAATTATGTGGTTAATCGTTAACCATTGGTTTTGATACGGCTACGGTTTATAATGGTTACGATTGGCACTACAAAAAAAATGTGTCTATTAAATCATTTATTTAGTAATTTTGTATTACTATAATTAATTTATTTTTACAGTTAGCAGTTACGGTTTTGAACAGTTTTATATGGTTACGGTTAAAAGAAGGTCCGGTTACTGTTAGAAATTTGGTTACGATTAGGTTTTGGTCATGCCTAGATTCCGTGATCAAGTTTCAAACCCTATATTCTAGCTGGTTATGTATAGTTTTATAGTTGTTAAAAAAACTTAAAAATGAATAAACACACTAACCAGTATATTCTCTTAGAACGAACGTTGCATAAAACTCCCCCATGGTGATAAAACTTGTTTCTTCCATAATAAGACTAGCGATATCGCGGTGAGAGTAGCGGCAAGCAACAACGAAAGCAGTTTGCCCTCGCTCGTTGACCGCGGTTAACTCAGCATATCCAGACGCTAATATCTGAGCCACAATGGTGGCATGTCCCCAACGAGCAGCAAAATGAAGAGGAGTGTCACCATCAAGGTTAGTAACAGAGACAAGAGAAGGACAAAGCTTAATCATCGAGTCCACAACTTCCTTATGCCCAAGCTTACTCGCTAGGTGCAAAACCGTACCACCGTGAGTACTACTATCCCAGTGGTATCTCTCCCTCAATACAGATGGATTCTCTTCTGCGAGAGCTAGTAAAGTGGCCACGTCGTTTCTGAGGATGGCATCGATGATTGGTGCTAACATTTTTCTTTGTTCTCAAATGGTTTAATACTAGCTAATGGTTTTAGGAGAGATTGGTCTTGGTATGAATTATTCGGATGATGGTTTATATGTTCGAGTTATGTAAGTTTGTTTCTTCCTTTTCCAAAACGGCATCCGTTAAAAGTCCACCCGTTGACTTGAGACTTAAGAAGAAAAAGAAAAGAAAAAGATTAGAAGACACGTAGAAAAAATGGAAATTATGATGCAGCATATTACTGAGAAATTCTTTAAAATACTGTATTTATTTATTTATTTTTAATTATTAGTTTATTTTTAAAAATATATCATAAGATTTTTAATTCTTAAAAAAAAAGCACAAACACAAAACTTAATTAAAAATGGAGGAAAAATATAAAGTCGCCCCATAGGAAATTGTGTTTTTATTTATTGTGTGTGTAATGTTAAGATTTGATCAAAAAATACTAACGCATGCAATGCAACTGCAGTCGCATTTGACCAAGTAGAGGCTAGGGAAAATCAAGGTAAAGACCAAACAAAACTAAGTTAAATCTTCTATATCTACAAGTTGACGCTAAGACAAGTCAAGCTAGACACTAAGACAAGTCAAGCAATACGAAAACGAAAAGTCGCGTAATGCGTATGACATACGAAAATTAAAGGCATCACTGTTCGTATTCTTAACCTCGATTTGGTTAATCAATTTGGTTAAATTGCAATGTTGAATAATTTTTAACCTAAAATTTTGCACAGGACTGATATATAAGAAGGGTCGGGAGGGATGCATGATCTATCTATTAGCCTATATTATAAGTAACATATTTTATCTTTGATTGAATGGAATAAGTAACTTCTCCCCATTCGAACGAGAGAATTGAGTTGATAGCTTCAGTAGTGGTTACTTGATGGTGTGTAGTGGGATGACTTGGTAGCGATCATATATTCATATTAGTATGTGAAACTAGATCCCACTTGTAGTTGTGTATCGTATGATTCGTATCTCTTGTAACATTTCCGAGTTATATTTTATATCTAATAAAAGAATTAAAAATTTTCATACTCAACCCGTAGATGATGTTTTACAAGCTAGAAAACATGTTCAATTATCACCTTTTTGTATTCTTTTTCATGTCACTCTTATATCCCTCATCGTTTCATTACCGTTGATTACAAAAATTACACAAAAATTGTTACGAGTAAATAAGGTTTATCCAATTATAAACTGTTAACTGCACAAAATCGCAATAGTATTATCGAAAATCGAATCGACAATGAGAAATCAAATATACCCACTATTATAATGGTTTTAAACTATGATCCGATACAAAGAAGTTATATAAAACTCAGAAATAAATTTGGTTGTAGTGGACGACATTTGCTGAATAGCTTCTTCAAGTTTCCAGTCTGTTTCTTGTTGATAGAATGAACTCTTTTTTTTTTTTAATATGTTTTGTAGTTATTACACAAGTGAAGCGAGAACAACAATAACGTAACAAGGATTGAGATCCCGAAAGAGAAGCTCTTAATCACTTGGATGTAGTTTAAAATAAAAGAGACGATCGACCAAACAAGCCACTAAATCAGAAACTCAATCAATGTACCACCAATCCTCATCAGCTGTCTCTAAAGCACTCTAAGAACAAACACATGGATCAGTTTCGAGCACGTAGCTGTAAAAACTGTCCGGCAGTTTCGGGCCAGATCTATTCGTCGGCATTTTCAAGTAAAGAATAGACTAATAAACTTTGTTGGTCCTCGGAAGAATACATTTTCCCCATTGCTAGCTAGCTTAAACAACTCAAAACACAACAGATGAAATATATACATAAAGTTCGCATGGACACACTTTGTAATATCTCTAATTTTTAATTGATTTGGGCTTTTTAGTTGTAAATTTGATAATTGCTTTTGTCATTTATTTAAGCTTTTTAAATGTAATTTTTTGCTAATTTGGTTGGAAAAAATGTTATTCAATTCGTTTGTTATTTATTTTCGGATAGCCAAACTAATCAAAAACCTAGAAATTCGTTTCATTCATTTTGTAGCCTATAATTTAACGATTTATCGAACCGAAATGATCAATTCGACGAAATTTTCCCAATCCATAAAAGCCGAAATTCATGAAAAAAACCCCAAATCAAAATACCAGATTAAAAACAGAATAACCAATACTATATTTATAATGTGATCCGTGAGCCAAAAAAATAATTTGCGAATTGGCAAATCACTACCTCATACATCACCACCCACCTCTCTAAATATTTACACCTCTTTTTATTTTACATTTCTTGGGAAACTTATTTTCACTGATATTTTTTATTCTTGAATGGGATCCAACCCAAGATGCTAAAATTTACACTTGCAGAAGATTATTATGGTTATTGGATCCATTCTGCACTAATCACATTTACATCATTGATTCATTTGTTTCGCAATCTTCTTACAATCTTTTTCGCAAGCCTTTGAACTTTGACCAAATTTTAATATATATGACCGTTTAATTAGAAACACAAAAATATCAAAACGAACATATATCATCAACGTGTGGACATCAATATTTGCAAAAGTAAACTTATCATGAAAAAAAATTCGTAGAACCACATCATTATTGGACCAATGATAACGATGGGGGAAGAAAAAAATGAATCTTATTAGATTTTTGTGTACCCATTATTCAACTACATTTTATTGGTTCTAAATTATTGATTTTGGAATCACTCATACAACTCTTTTGCAAATCTGAATTGTATGTATTGGTAATATCTAGTGGTCTAGAGGAAGCTAATGTAATGTAAACGTCATCTCAATACAAAAATGCAGTACACTATTATATCGTCACAATTATCCCACAACACAAGTAAAGCAACATTAAACAAACCTCTCTCTCCCTCTCTCTAGGATCTTCAGAACAAAAAGTATAAGACTTGGAGGTAATCTTACTGAACTAGCTCGATCTAACTATATATGTACTATGTTGATGTTTTAATGTTGTATGAAGAAACTCTTTATATGTTCTTTCCCTTAATCCTTAATTCTGTAAATAAATCATTAGGATTCTTCTTGTTTAGTCATCTACTTTGAGCTATTAGCTAGAAACTAATGGACGTTTTATATAAACTTTCATTTTCTATGTAGAAAACAGAATGAGTATTTGGAGTATCATTGTTGCATTCGTCTTCTTTGCATCTATACTCATTGCAAAGAAGATGAGAATGACAACGAGGAACCTACCTCTTGGACCACCAAGACTTCCTATAATTGGCAACTTGCATCAATTAGGATCCAAACCTCATCGTTCAATGTTCAAATTATCTGAAAAATATGGATCTCTAATGTCTCTAAAGTTTGGAAATGTGTCTACTGTTGTGGCATCTACACCAGAGACGGTGAAGGACTTCTTAAAAACGAATGATGCGGAGTGTTGTTCTCGACCTTATATGACTTATCCTGCAAGAGTTACATACAATTTAAAAGATCTTGCTTTTGCTCCCTATAGCAAATATTGGAGGGAAGTACGAAAGATGATGGTTGTTGAACTCTACACTGCGAAAAGCGTAAAATCTTTTCGACATGTAAGGGAAGAGGAAGTTGCCTCCTTCGTCGATTTCATCAAACAATCTGCTTCATTAGCGAAACCGGTTAACTTTAGCCAGAAGTTAATGAAACTATCAGGAAGTGTGATTTGTAGAGTGGGATTTGGGATCAGTCTTGATGGGAGCAAGCTTGCGAATACTTATGAGGAAGTCATTCATGGATCCATGGAGGTAATGGGGAGTTTCGCAGCTGCTGATTACTTCCCGGTTATTGGTAGAATCATCGATAGGATCACGGGTTTACATAGCAAATGTGAGAAGGTTTTTAAGGCAACGGATACATTTTTCGACCAGTCTATAGAGCATCATCTAGCAAATGAGAATATTAAGGATGATAATGATATCATTGGTATGCTCCTCAAGATGGAAAAGAGAGAGACTGAACTTGGAGAGTTTCGACTTACTCGAAACCATACCAAAGGAATTCTACAAGTAAGTAATTTGAACCTTTTAAGTCCATATTTCTTCATACTTCAAGTGTCACATAAAGTTTAAATCAATCCTTGTGTTATCAAATATTACAGAACGTTCTTCTTGCTGGAGTAGACACTACTAGCCACACAATAACATGGGTGATGACAAATTTGATTACAAACCCAAGAGTACTCAAGAAAGTACAAGCTGAGGTAAGAGAAGTAATCAAAAAGAAAGATGATATCACAGAAGAAGATATAGAGAAACTCGAGTATTTCAAAATGGTGATTAAAGAAACGTTTAGGATAACACCAATCGGACCACTTCTAATCCCAAGAGAGGCTTCAAAAGATTTAAAGATCGGAGGCTACAACATTCCAAAGAAAACATGGATCCATGTCAATGTATGGGCTATTCATAGGAATCCAAACGTTTGGAAAGATCCAGAAACGTTCATACCAGAAAGGTTTATGGATAGTCATATTGACTATAAAGGTCTAAACTTTGAGTTGTTGCCGTTTGGTAGTGGTAGGAGAATTTGTCCAGGTATGGGAATGGGTATGGCTTTGCTACACTTGACTCTTATCAATCTGCTTTACCGATTCGATTGGAAGCTTCCAGATGGAATGAATGTAGAAGATGTTGACATTGAAGAATCATATGGACTCTCTTGTCCTAAAAACGTTCCACTTCACCTTGTCCCAGTCCTTACTCAATGGACTTGACTTTATTTTCTCGTAGCTCGTGATATAACTGTTTGTTTATGAAAGCATTGTTATTAGAACCTCATAGTGCTTATTCTACCAATAAAATTCTTAGTAGAAGGAAAAATTTAAAGAAACATGCACCCAAAGTTAGTTTCATAATTACATCTGAATAAATTAAGTGATACAAAGATTTTAAGATCTCTAAATACAGTAAAATATTAATGATATGATTTGATTAAGGTCCATTTTTGTGAGTTTGTAATATAATGGTGTCTTTGTAATGATACCAAGCTACTTTTCTTTTTCTCAAAAAAAAAAAAGAACAATGATTGCAATTTTGTTTGTATCTTTGTTAATAACAATGATTACAAGTTGAGATGTCTCATTCAGTTCTTTAATCACAATATTCAAAAATGTTTATTTTATATGATTGAATTGAAGACATGTGATCACAACAACTTCAAGTTTTCAGATGGACTCAACAACTACTACAGCTTCCTTGGAGACAAACTTCTTCAACATAGCAATAAGCTGATCAAAGTCGTCTTGTGATCTAATGAGACTTAGCCGAACAAACCTCCTCCCCGATCCAAACGCTTCGCCACCGCGTCCTGTTATCTTTGCCGCTTTGAAAATCTCATAGCAGTTTGTATCTTCTAGTCTCTCACACTTCACCCAAGCATAAGCTTTTGCGATTAACAACAAAAACAAAATATAAGTTTTCATATACATAAGTATACCAAACCATTTATAGTCTTAGCATCATAAACTTACAAGGAGTAAAGTCTCTAACTTTCTTGAAATAGTTGCAATACTCAGGTTTGATAGTCTCTAGCGAAAAACGCGTAGACATGGACATGATCTTGTTCAGTTTCTCCCATCTTTTTTTCATGGTTCTATAACCAAAATGGAATATTTCATCGCCTCTATCACCAATCACTACTTTAAGCAATTGCAAAGCATGAAGCTGTGTGTCTCTAGAAACTCCCATAGTACTTAAACTTATATATGTGTTCATTTTCTTATAAACAGCTTCGTCTTTTACTAATGCCCAGCTGCAACAACAACAACAAAAACATTTGTGAGTTGTTGTGACCAAATCCAAATTTTTGTTTAGAGTACTAGGAGAGACCGATTACCCGAATCTTGAGCCGGCATGACCCGTAGTCTTGGAGAGACTAAACAAGCTCAAATCTTCATCAACTGGTTGTATAATCGGTGAGAAATAAGGCCAGTAGTAAGCACAATCATGAATTGTTTTGACGTTAGGACCATCAAGAACCGCGCATTTCAGCTTCCCATCTGGATTATTCGGAGACGTCACTATCTCTATAACTTGTGTTATATTATCACACTGCTTCCACGCAGACGCGTCTCCTTCGAACATGAGATCAGCAGAGTTAAAGAACTCAGCTTGTTGTTTGTACATCTTCCCCCACACACACACAAACACAAAAACACAAACTCATCACAAACGATTGTTACATAAGGCCAAGAACATAGCATTTTTCTTTTGCTTACATTGTAGTATGGAACAGAAGTCACAAGTCTTGAAGGATATGATGAATTAGTTTGGGACAAGGCATGAACAGAAGCTGCAATCAATTGTGTAGCTCCAGTTCCAAAGACTATGAATCTGTTATCAGTAACTGCATTTCCCATTATACTATGCAGCTCTCTAATGATCATCTCCAGCTCTACCGACACAAATGCGCCAAGTTTGTAATAACGATAACTCATCCTGTGCCACCCTGACTCAACAACCGCACTCTCCTCGGCTTTTCGCATCCAAAAAGGCTCCAAGAACAAAGGGTCTCCTCTTCAAGAAAAGAACATAACTAGTTACAAAAACTGGTTTTGTCTCTATATGATCAAATTAAGGAAAGGGTGAGGAAACTTATTACGAGTCAGCATCGACAGGGCAATCTTTGAGAAGAACAGAGCAATCTTGGCCTGTGTAGCAATTGTTACACTCACAAGGAGGTTTATGGCTGTCAAGGACACCAAGACCGTCCACATAAGCTCTTCCATGGCCTGAGCATGGAACTGAAGCTGCAGCTTCTGCTTCTGCTGCGGCTCTGTTGGTCCACGTTGGATTCCATGTGGTTGAATTGTTGTTATAAAGAATATGGATGGTTAATACAAGATTCAAGATGATTGACACTGCAACTAATAGCTTGTTAAGCATATCTGCAAAATAAAGAAAAATTTAAGAAGGAGAGATTGCTTGAATTGTGTTACTATTGAAAACTGACCTTTGACATTGTGGGGAGAACGAGAGATTACTTTTAAATTAGACTATATATTTGAATAAAGATAAAATGTTGGTGGCATGTAACGAATCCGAGTACTAGCCCTGAGTAAAATATTCGTTAAATTCGCTTCGTTTCGATTCGATTTGAAAAATTCAAATATCTATCAGATATTGAAGCGAAACAAATATGAAAATGTAGTATTCGTAAAAACCGAAATAAATAATAAATATTAATTTTTTTAATGTTGAATATCCGCTTTGCTTTGTATATGTGTATTTATAGATTTGAGTTTATATATAATAGGCATATTTTTCAAATTATTATATTTTGGCCTGTTGGGATTTTTGCTAAATGTTGTTTTTAAACAAATAAAATTTTATTAGAAAAATCAACATTACAAAAAGAATGTGAGAATCCTATGGACTGCGGTTACATTTCTTTCTTATTTTGAAAACATGTCAAACAAGAACGTCTAATATCTCATATTTTGCATTTTATGTTTATGTACAATATTTTTTTTGTTTCAAAAAAAAATAAAATAGATGGGTCGAAGCAAAACGAATAATTCATGAATATTACGAAAAGTATTCGAATATTCGAAGTTCCGAATACTCGAAAATTTACGAATCGAAGCAAATAGCAAAATCTTCGGTCGAGGCGAAGCGAATCACAAATATTACAAATTTTCCGAATGTTCGTTTCGTGCCAGAGGGCTGCCGAGTACTGTATAGAGTTTTTCCTGGATTAAACCGGTTTAATTTTCCGGTTTAGTGTGTGAAATGCCCGGTCGAAGTATTGAAATTTTCAATATAAGGGTATAAGGGTCTTTACACCATTCAATACTTTGCGATACCCAAAACAATGAGCTATATAAACCGCAAAAAAAAAACCCTAGTTTTCGCTGTTGAATCTATTATTATACACTGAAGAGAGAAAGCTTGAAGACGGCGAGCGAGCTTCATTTTTTCTAAGGCACCTCTCTTCTCAGTCAAAATCACAATGGTAATTTAGGCTTTACGTTTCCGAGTTCCACTGTCTTAATAGGTTGAACAACTATTGCTCTTACATTCGTTACTTTGATTTTCTGATTCCTGTCAATTTAGATTTAGATTCGAAGAACCAGATCAATCTGCTTGTGTTAAAATGGGTGATTTTGATAATTTTGTTCTGATGGGTTTGTGAATTTGGTTACTTTTGTGTAGTCTCTTGTTGCAAATGAGGAGTTCCAGCACATTCTGCGTGTGCTCAACACTAACGTTGATGGTAAGCAGAAGATTATGTTTGCCCTTACCTCTATTAAGGGTATTGGAAGGAGATTGGCTAACATCGCCTGCAAGAAAGCTGATGTCGACATGAACAAGAGGTAATTAAAAATCCAATCTTTGACAACGTTTAGGTCTTGTAGTGTACATTTTGAAGCCTGGTGTCTTAACTGATCTTTAAATGCTCTGCTTTTGGATTTGAGGTTCTTCTTTGGTTTGTGGGAACTATAATAGCCTGTGTCTTGTATCTTTTAACATTTATGTGTATGCCAATTTGCAATTCTTGTTGTCTAATTTTGATCTCAACTCATCAGGGCTGGTGAGTTATCTGCAGCTGAGATTGATAACCTCATGAGCATTGTTGCAAACCCAAGACAGTTCAAGATTCCAGACTGGTTCTTGAACAGACAGAAAGATTACAAGGATGGGAAGTACTCTCAGGTTGTTTCCAACGCCCTTGACATGAAGCTCAGGGATGATCTTGAACGTCTCAAGAAAATCAGGTGAAATTCAGTACTGATCCCATTAGTATATCATGATATAACTGTCTTGGGATTTTTATCTAATGGTTGGTTTTGAATAATCTTGTGCTGAGCAGAAACCATCGTGGTTTGAGACATTACTGGGGTCTCCGTGTCCGTGGACAACACACCAAGACAACTGGTCGCAGAGGAAAGACTGTTGGTGTGTCTAAGAAGCGTTAAGCCAATGTTGCTAGTTGCAACTTCATTGGATCTTCGATGAAGACCGAGTTTAAGTTTTGTTCCAGTTCCAGTTCTGGGTTTTCTTATGAAAGATCTTCTCTACTGTTTTATTACTTTTAAGATAAGATTTTGTTACTGGATCGTTATGCTTTTTCTCTAGTTAACAATGATTGTTCGGTTGGCAAAGTTAATTATCTTCTTGAGCAAAATATCTAAATCTGATTTATTTGCAATTCTAGTAATTTAAGTACTACTGTGACAAGAGAATACTTTGGTCTGGCTTGGATCAAGTTTTGCTTTCACTATTGCATTTTTAGACAGCAACTCTGAAATCTTTAGATATATTCAGACAAGATAATCTGAGGTTAGTTTATATGATAGTCAGGGATCAAACCAGACCAAAGTGTATTCTCCATTGTACATCAGAGCCGGTGAAGCATGTATGATTATTGGCAATAAACATCCCAAAATAATAAAATAAATGTCTTATTGCAATATGGGAAGCTATGAAGAGTGTTGATGTAACTTGATTCCCCAAAAAAGCATTACAAAAATCTCAATTGTGTCTGTATGGAAAGAAAAAAATCGCCTTTTTTCGTCGTACCCAACCAAAATTAACACAAGAATCATCATAAATTAAGCTAAAAAGAGCAAACTCAAAACAGTGATGTAACTATGTGATGTTCCTGATAATTTACTACTTACTACTAGGCTTTGTCTTCGTTGTCATCAGAATCCGAAGCTGCTCCAAGTTTCTGTTGACGGGTCGTTGGAAGAGAATAGCTTCGTCGCTCTTTGCCTCCTGGCTTCGAGGAGGCATTACCGTACCAGATCATACCCAGTACTGCAATTATCATTCCGACAACCACGTGCAAGTTTAGACCTTCTCTACCAAAGAAGAAGAAGCCCATTATCAACACCAGGATCGTCTTCATGTGTCCCAGTACTTGGAACGATACTGCCGTGAATCTTCCGATGCAGATGAACTGGCTTAGGTTGGTTCCTATGGCTATGGTGCATGACAGGGTTATAAACAGCTGCAGAATTCAAGAACGTTAGGTTCGAATGAGTTTATACCATGTAAGTTACATCACGGTTTGGCCTTAAGCATAGGGAAACGGTTCATTAGTTAACAAGCTAGATTTGTATAGTATCTGCTTGGGTCTACATGCTGACTCTAAATAAGGTTGGTACCAAACAGTGGAAACACAAGAAAACTATCATAATCAGATGCCACAAAATATATAAGGTAGTGACATAATGATGTGATTTAGCTCTTGTGAGAAGAGTCAAGTTAAATCTAATTCCAATGAGACTAAGGGATCAAACTTATTGAGGTTTTGGGTGCTTACCACGGAAACCAAGTTGTAATCGTACATGTCTACTCTTTTTTCTGTCAGCCAATAGTCAAGAAACGGGCCAACTACCAGCAATGTTGCTGCTTGGGCTGGAGCAGTATGTCCCAATAGGTTGAATGAGTTAAGCGAGTACTTGCGCTGAAGGTAATGTACATACTGCATCATGTAAAAACCACACCAATATTAGTTTTCATGTTAAACAAAGAAACGATATGTTACTTCATAGGAACACAGATGCTTTGAGAACACTTACGTATTGTTGCAGAGCAGTACTCCATACAGCAACGAAAGCGGCTACAAACCCTTTAGTGTTTACACTGACATCGGTAACAGTGCAAACACCAACACCAACAAGAACCAGCCCTATGCTAAGCTTTGTGTCTCTCGAGTAACGGATCTTATCGAATACCATTTCCAACAAGCAAGATACAGGAATCATACTGAGCTTGGCAATCTGAGACACACAAAAAAACACACCACGAAATCAAGATTAGATGTTTTTCTTTGCGCAATTGCAGAGATACAGAGCTAAGATTGTGTTTATCACCTGATAAAAACCGACAGAGTTCCACATAAGACTGACATTCATTCCAACAATCGAGAAATTTGCAAACAGAATAAATCTCAAAAGCTCGGAAAACGGAAGATGAGAAGGCTGAATGTAACCAAGACATCTTAAAACAAGCGTCATCAGAGTTGTTGTAGCGAAATGTAAACCAGTTAAGGTTGTAGCTGCACAAACATAACACACAGAACAAATTAGAAGGATAATAGCTTCAGGTTTCAAAGAAGAAGCTTAAAAGCAAAAGAGATCTTACCAAAGCTATAACCATAAGTCGCCATTAAAGCTTTATTAACAATGATGATACCAACAGAAGTGACGACATTGAACATCCACGCAGCAGCATCTACTGCTGCCTTCTTATCAGCTTTACTCACAGGAGCCATTTCTTAAAACTCTCTCTCTCTTTCTCTTCCTCAGTCAGCAATTCTCTATTTCTTCAATCTCCCATTCCCCAGGGACTCACTTCACTACAGAGTAACAATTCCCACTAAGCTTAACAAGGTTCCATAATATGAATCGCGAATCATGAAGAAACCACAGAATCTGATTAGAAGCAAAATGAAAACAGATTCGATCGCGATCGCCTAATCAACAGTAAATTTGAATGTATTACGATTCGATCAGATCGGATCCGGCGCCGGAGATTGGAATCGGAACGAATATAACATAAGATCTAAGATCGTAGATCAATATCGACTGATTGAAATCAAATCTGAGGAGAGCAAACAGATTAAGAGAGAAGAAGGAGACATGGCGTGGAGTTACCTTGAGAGGAGGGGGGGAAACGGAAGAGGAGAGCAAACGGGAATTGAATCGTGCGGTGGTGATCGGAGCACCGGTGCCGTCGACGGCGAGAGTGGTAGAAATCGGAGTGAGTCTAATAAGGTAATCTGAAAAAAAGGCAGTTGGGAAGCGAAGGGCTCGTGGAGAGCGAGAAGAAGACTAGTTGTTGTAGTCAGCTCCAGCAAATTCGTTATTGTTACTTGTATTATTTTTAATTTTATTTTCAATTTTCATATAATTTGCAATTTTTAGAATTTTTTTAAAAGAATTTTACAGTAAAGACAGTTAACTATTTTCTTTTTATATGTTTTTATATTAATAATACGATGGAAATATATATGTATTGAGGCTAGGTAAGTGTGGCTGCGGCGAACACATATATCAATATCCGTTTGGTTACCGTAGGTAATTGCGTTATAATGCAATGCCAAATGCGGTGAAAAATTTGGAACGACATCAATATTTAACGGTAACGATTAAAAAGTTGTGTTAGATTGGCAAATGATAAAAAAATATTTTTGTTTTGTTTAGTGTTTTACAAAATAATCTAACCTAATTTGGACAAAGCGACGAGGATGAGAAGAAGAAGAATATAGTTCGAGATCTGATTTTTCTTTGTTTGCTTTCCTACTTTCATCTTCGTAAGCTCTTCTGCTTCTTCTTCTCTAACTCTCTTTCGATCTCTGTTTTAACATGGATTGAGATTAGTTGATTGTGTTGTTTGGATGAGTTATGGTTTTACTCACTTGTTTTATTCTACTTTTTTTATAAGAAGTGTTCATTTTTAGATGGGTAATGATTCCATAGTAGCTAGTTTTGTTAACATTATACAGTTTGATTCATAGCGCTAGTTTTGCTTGACTATATATTGTTTGTTTCCAACAGCTTGACGGTTTATCACAAAAATATGTTGTTGTAATTATATTTTTAACTTAAAATTATCAATATTTCTTATGGATGTAAATATATTTAAATTACATTTCGTTGGTTCAAGATATAATTATACAAATTTATAAAAGTAAAATAAGAATTAAGTGTAAAATTTTATAAAACATGAATTAGATTTTGCATACCCTTCCGTAAAAAATGGATGGAACTCGCAGAGTTTTTTTTTTTTTACTTATGAGCTTTGCTTTCTCCATCACAAACCAAACGAACCCAACAAAGCCCACCAGTTTTTCAATCTCTCTCTCTCTCTCTCTCTCTCTCTCTCCGTTACTTTCTCTACGCTGCCGCCGGCATTATCTCCGGTACGTCTCTCAGATCCGTCCGGTGAAATCTTCACCATCCTCGTTTCTTTCGCCAGTTTGATTACCCAATCTCACAAATATTTTATCTTCTTTCTAAATCTGAACCTGAACCACACTAGAAATAGTAAGTGTTTTAGATTCCAAGTTTTGTTTTTTTTTTTTATATCTTCCCCATCGCTTCAAAATCTTACTGAACTGAAAACACTGTTATGAACACTTGTCGTAGATTTAGCTTCTGGTTTCAGAATCAAGCCTCTTCCTTTTTTATTGTTTTGCTGTATTTTAGTGGAATGAGGAAAAAGTTGGAATTTTTTTGGGATAAAAGTTCGTTTTTGATGTTGTTCATATTGTAAAAATGCTTTCTTTATTGTCATCCTAATGATTTTGATTCTGGACTTTACTTATTTAGGGATTTGGAGTTTGTGTTGTCGATGGCATGATGTGCAAATGAGACAATATTGGAAATGTTATTTGCAGCAGAAGGAGGAGGATTCTTCTCTTCATCAGCTTCTGGGTATAGCAATGGTTTAGCTCTTCTTCTATTGGGTCAAAAGAATGAACAAAAGCCTGTCAAGGTGTCATCATCACAATGGAACCATTATCATTTAGTTGTTGAAGAATCTGATACCGGGTTTCGGTTAGATTCGTCGAAGAATTGGCTCTCTTCTGCCTGCACTTCACTTATATGTTTCGGCCGAAAATCCGAAAGACCGGAGAATCCATCTCCTATCCGAGTGAGTCCTTCTCATACAAAAGATTTCGCTTCTGACGCTTCTGTTCACCGCGAAGGGAAGGAGGATCGTGTAGAGTATAATTGTGAAGTCACTAATAGGTTTGCACTTAAAAGCAGCTTGAAGAAAAGATCGTTTAGTGATGTTGTTGTTGGTGATGATGATGTGAGTTGTAGAGATGGTGTGGTGGATCATACAGATAGAAGGAAAGTGCAATGGCCTGACACGTGTGGTATTGATATCGCTGAGGTCAGAGAATTTGAGCCTAGGTATGGATGCTTTCTCTTAAACATTAGATCCTGTTTGATAAATCTTTGTATGTGTAGCTAATAGTTGGCAGTTTTGGCCTATGTTAGAGTAGAGTAGGGAATAGACTACCTCTCACAGGAAAGAACTGGCTTGATCCCTCCCTGTTTGCTTATAAATAGTTTTGGAACATCTTTTATCATTATCATACCCAGTCTTCCCTATAAACTTAAGCTCATAGTGTGAGATTTAATAGTAACATAACACTTTAGATCATGAATAAACAACACTTTCATAGATCCAAAAAGTCTTAAGCTCATGGTTGAATACTACTCATAGCTCCCTTTAGTAGAACTGAGCTACAATGTGACTTTTGTTGTTCTTAGGAAATTGCGATTTAGTTGTGGAATCAGTCGTGTTCTTTGTCTTTTTCATATCAAGTACCAAGCACATTGCTCCTTTTACAACTCCTTTTTGGTAAACAAATGTTGAAAACATTGTGCTCTGATTGAATTTTGCAGTGAAGTAGGTGAGTCAGACGATGAGTTCCATCATGGAAGTGGAAAAAGCTGTATGTGCACAATCATGTGACGACCAAGCTTCTTGTCTCTCTAAAAGTTGTTTTCAAGAACAAAGAGCTTTTATATAGCTTAGCTGTGGTAGATGCTCTTCTAGTTCACCCTTACTCAGTGCACCTTTGTTATTTATATTTATAGCGAGTAAGTGAGAGAGGTGACAGGGATGGATTTGCAAAAAGATTGGATAAGAAGAAGAAACTTTTGGATGTGAACCTTGTAGCCACTTGATTTGTCAATTTTGTGGATTATTCAAATGTACAACATCTCTATGCTGCTCTGTCTTGTAATGATAAAATCCACACCACAACTTTTTGGATTAGAATAAAATCCAATTAATTATAATCCAATGTTTAATCCTTATAAATTTCAAGTTAATTATCATTAATTTATTAATAAACTAAAGTATTTTCACGCGCCGTGTATGCGCGTTGGATGAATCCAAAAGTACCCATTAGCACATAAGCATGAGACTTGGCCATATCACATCCACAAAGACATTACCAAAAGACAGAACAGAACTAAAAGCTTCGAAGAAAAAAAATCAGACAATTCAATTTCAACTAAACGAAGAAGATGTCAGTAGCCTCACCGATTCAATGTATCAGGATTCTAAATCCATCATCATCTTCTTCATCATTATCTACCACAACAGCTTCATCGTCTTTTAGATTCTCAAAGAGTACTAAGCCATGTGTATTCATCATCAGATGTTCTCAGACAGAAGGTCCTTTAAGAAGGCCATCGGCTCCTCCTACTCTCCGGGAGCCGCAAAAACCTGTTCCTCCATCTCAGTCTTCTTCCTCTCCACCACCATCACCACCGCCGCCGCAGAAAGCTGTGGCTGTTGATGGTAAGAGTGTAACTACGGTTGAGTTTCAGAGAGTCAAGGCTAAAGAGCTTCAGGAGTACTTTAAAAAGAAGAAGCTTGAAGCTGCTGGTCAAGGTCCCTTCTTTGGTTTTCAACCCAAAAACGAGATCTCTAATGGAAGGTACCTTTATAATCTTTGGTAGTTTAGATACAGAACTGCTGCAAAGTATTGATGTTATGTCTATGATACATTAGTTTGCAAGTAATGTTCTCTAGCCATTTCAAGCTTTTGACCTCAATTGTAATAGTGGGTAGCTCTGGTTCTTGAAATCAAGTTGTTGGTCATTGATGTTACTTCCTCTGCAGCCATAAGCCCTTCAAATTCAGACATAAAAGAGCCTAAAGTTTAACACTTTTATCAGATTTCCCCAAATTTGTCTGTGCATTTGTCTTAAGTAGATGGTCATTGATGTTACTTCCTCTGCAGACATAACTCTTCAAATTCAGACATATAAGAGCCTAAAGTGTTACACTTTTATCAGTTTGTCCCGATTTTGTCTGTACATTTGTCTTAAGTAGATGGTCATTGATGTTACTTCCTCTGCAGACATAACCCTTCAAATTCAGACATACAAGAGCCTAAAGTCTTACACTTTTATCTGTTTCTCAATGTTGTCTGTGCATTTGTCTTAAGTAGATGGTCATTGATCTTACTTCCTCTTCACTTCACTTTCCTTTGAATTATGATCTCAATTTTCGAATTTGATTATCATGGCTACTGGTTAACAAATGTTCATTAGTTATATGTATCCTGATGCTATGTCGTGCATTTGTGTGAAAATGATGTTCTTGTCATTTCAATTTCATTTGGGTTTAGCTCTTGTACTTCAAACAAGTTTCTGGTCATTGATGTTTCTTCATCAGCAGCATAAGCCCTTCAAATTCAAACATAGTTTCACACTTAATAGTTCTGTCATGATTGCTTTTGAGTGTATTAGGTTCTTACTAATGAGACACTCATGCACACACAATAGACTGGTTGATGGTAGAATTAGCTAGTAACTATTGCCTATACATGAGATAACTCTTGTGTGTTTGTTTCTTTAGGTGGGCTATGTTTGGTTTCGCAGTCGGGATGCTTACCGAGTATGCAACTGGATCAGATCTTGTCGACCAAGTTAAGATCCTTCTCTCGAATTTCGGCATTCTAGACTTGGAATAATATGAGTGTGTTATTATATATAGACAGACCTCTTCTCTCTTGTCTCCAATTCCTCTACTTGTTGATTCTTCTTCCTGTATATGTATCTCTAAGATCTTACCTACAAATACAGGGCCATTTGTGTATTCAATCACTTTTTTATCTTCAAATGGTATAAATACGATCTTGTATCGATTCTAGAATTGCATACAAAAGGTGTTTTGAGGATTAAATGAAAGTGTTCTTGTTTAGAAAAAAAAAATATAATCAGTGTATACTCTCCAAAGAAATCTCAAATCTTTGTTAAGGAATCTGTGCAATCTCGAGAAGAATCTTGTGGAGAGATTGAGGCTTTGAGAAGAAAGGACAATGATCACTTCCTTTGATCTTGAAGACTCCTTCAGGGCTGTTCTCTCTCACTACCTTCTCTTGAACATCTGGTGAGAGTGCACGGTCATCTAACGTCTGAACATAGAATCTTCTTCCTTTCCCGTATCTTTCTGCGGTCAGAGATACTTTCTCCATCATTGGTCCAAGTGGTACAGGCCGCATTGAAATCATTGCCAGTGCTATATCCTGCCAAACCAATATAACCAAATCACTTTAAAGGTTACTAACTTTTTTACTGATGGATTATCCAAGAAACAGTCGGTTAATAAGTAAGTCAACAATTAGCATTTTGGAGTGTACCTTGTTGGGTGATTGATTGAAATACAAGCCTTTCATGTGTGGTTTCTCAAACATGAACCCTGTAGGAGGCTTGTCTTTTCCATTCCCATATATCAAGAATTGTGACTCTTGCATGAACCGCTCTGCGGAACCAAGCTGCATCAGTTGTAGATGGTTTAATCACAAATGTGAGGACACAAACAAAAACAAAAAGACTACATTGATACATATGAACTCAAATATTGTGTATTACCTCTTCAGAGAAAACATCAAAGGGTCTTTGGCCATCAGAAACCATGGTTGCACATACAAATATAGCTTTCGATATTTTCTCTGGGAACCTCTCTAACGCATATGAAATGGACGCACCTCCAGTGCTATGACCCACTAGAATAACCTGCATAAAACAACAAACTCATATCTCATTGCCTCATTCCTCTAATCAGCTGGTTTTTTAAATATCCTCCCAAGTTCTAACCTTCTCTTCTTCAGGGAGATTTTCGAGTAACTCGATCAATGGTTTTGAATATTCTTCCAAGGTAGAGACAGTGTTTGTGTCTGTCATATTAAATCCACACCCAGTGAGGTCAACTGTAGTTGGAGACAGTCCTGACTCTTCCAGTGAAGCAATAATTTTGTACCAACACCATGCCCCAAACCCTTCACCATGCACCAGAACAAATCTCTTCACTATCAAGCTCTCTGAAAAATCAGGTACCTGAAGAAAGAACATAGATAAGTTATCCAAAGTTAAGCTTCAATAACAACATCAATCTATATAGCAAAGATCAAGGTGTGACAGGAACAATAAGTAAACACAATCCATTCTCTAACAAAGTGATGCAACTTCAGTTCTTTCAGAGAATCAAAAGCTTCTAGTCATATCAAACCACTTTAGTTACAGTCAATATCAGCATAAAGTTTACTGAAAGACAAAAAAAGTTTATCAGCACTTCTAAAGGTTATGGGTGTGGCTAAAGACACTCAATAGTTATATAGCTCATCTGGTCCCAACCCAGTGTCAGTATCAGAGTTTAGAACATTTCTTTCCAGGATAAAGTTTTAACATTTCCAACAGATAAGTCAGAACTCAATCAGCACTTTTCACATCTCTTTTCTCATTTTAACAAAGAATCTACACTTTTATAGTAACCATACTCTTCTCAAAATATATAAAAAAGTTCCTCAAACAATCATTAAAACCAGTACCTACATTTCAAATCAATATTATTAACCAAAAAGGCTAAGGACTCAGTCGAAACAATCATTACATGAATATATTTATGAAAAAAAAAACATGTAAAGCTTTGAACTTTTCAAGAAAAGGTTGAAACTTTTGCAAGATTTAAGTAGTGAGCTGACCTGCTTGCCATTAGAAAACGGGTCAGAGAGGGTTCGTTTCCTAGTACTTGTAGAACCGACACGTCTAGACATAGATCCATCAAATCTCTGAGAAAGCTGAGCTTGATGAATCGCCATGGACAGAGCTCGACGATGCAACATCTCTTCATCAGCAAGCAATTTCCTCTGTGACCGGTTCATTCTCTTACTCTTAGATCCTCCTCCTCCATCTTTGTTATCTTTCTTTATCATGGAGATTATCTTGTTACCCATCTTTCCCAAATCAAGAACCAAGAAGGGGAGAAATCAATGGAAGAATTCTCAAGAAAATAAAAGTTTTCCAAGAAAGTCAAAGTTTAGAGCATAGAGGGCTTGCCCTAGATGGGATCAGCATATAGACTTGTTGTTACTTCCAAAGAGAGAGAGAAAGAGTAGGTGAAGAAGCAATCGGTCATTAATTGTGAATTCTGAATTTTTTGTACCACCGCAAGAAGGAAAAAATAAAAACAGAGGATAGAGACAGATTTGGAGAAGGGTTGGTTGTAGATTTTTTTGGTAAGAGATTTTGGTATCTCTTTGTCTTTAATCTCTTTAAGATATGAGTTCACACTGTAGCTTGCTTTCTTCACTAGTGTTACAGTTTTACTCTCTTTTATTGACTTGATGAGAATTTCTAAAGTTTTGACCTTTCTTTGGTCAACTTACTTTATTTCTTTTGGTTTTCTTAGTCAACATATTTGATTTAGTTCTTAGATAAATATGCCATTTGCTTGACATAAGTCACTTGTGTTCACCCTTACTTACGAATAAAATGGTTTAAAATCTTGGTTCCTTTGCTCTCCCTGAAGACAAGAAGATCCCTCTTGATGCTCTCATCAACATAGAGGTTGAACAACGACAAAACATTTTACTTTTTAGCCAATGCTTCAGTTTCCATGGCAATATTACTATACTAAAACAATCTTTTCGTGGAATAAGCCAATAAGTTATATAACAATCACGTGAAATAAAACCAATTTTTCCACAAAGAGAAAATATTACTTAGCAATAAATTAACTTCACAGTAATCCAAACTATTATATGGTTAAAATCGAGCAATCACGTTCTAAGGCCTCTCAGGAACCCAAAATAAAAACCCGACACACTGTGTTTCCCGCCTCCCTATTCACTTGACTTTATTTTTCATTACCAAGACTCGGGAGTAAGTTCTCTCACTACTCACCCACTTGTCTGTAAACACCGCAACAAGCCAAAAGGAGGGGAATGCAGGTACCGTGAACCGCTAGGGCCTTTGAGAGGCAGTAGCAAACGAGTCTTTTCTTGTCTCACTCTCATAAATCTTGAGCTGATTCCTACTTTGAGAACGGCCTCTTTTATGTGCAATACTACGACTTACAACGCCTGACCAAAAGTCTTCAAACCCGAGTGTGATGTTGATAGAGTTACTCCTCATTTCGATTGAGATCTATAGATTCCCGTTGAAGGACAAAATCCATTGGAATGGCTCATATATTTAGCCTGAAAGGTCATAATAATCATAACATTGTGTTGACAAAACCGTCTAATTGTTTATAAAAAAAAATAAAAAGGTAAAAAATATTGAAGTGAAATGCTAAGAGTGAGTAATAGAGGGTAGGCGTGTGCCTAGAGCATTACCATGTGTTAAGTGAATATATCAAGTACCCGATGATGATTTTTGAATCCACATCTGCTTCTGCAAAACAGTAAAATTGAGTCTTCTAAACATGGTTATAAGTGTAGATATTAAGATGTGGTAAAAGGCTATGTTAGCTTGCCTCATGTGAATTAGAACCACCACCACCACCTCCTCTCCGGGATGATTTACCCTCACCAGTCATCACGTCTTCTTTTCTATTGCGACCTCCAACACGACGACTAGAATGTCTAGTAGAATCTGGATAAAGTAAAAAGTTTTGGCAGAACCAGCATCATTTTTCTTGATTTGTATATAATGAAACAAGAAACATTATGCATTCTCCAACTTCAAATGAACTAACCATTCTCAAGAGTGTGTCCACCAGAGGAGTTGACCACTTCTCCAGATCTTTGAGAATATATCCTCTCTTTGACTTCTCCATTGTTAGCTGTAAGAAAAGATGGGAGATGAGTTATGGAGGAGAACACAACCATAAAAATGAAATTAATTACTTATTGGTGAACAACGGAAACAGAACCTGCTGAAGATAGTGATTGATCCTCACTGATATTGGACCCATCACGACGAAGAGGAGCCCACACAACACGATCAGGTCTGTCCTTGTTTCTTGTACGTCTCTCTTGCTTCTCACTGTTGGTACCAGAAGCATGATAATCTTTCCCTGCACATGGAGTCATGGAGCATTTTTAAAAAATTGTAGGCCCAACTTGGGAAACAAACATATTGGCTTAAATCCTACTCCTTTATTACCTGCTCGAGTGTTGGCTGGCCGAGCTGGTCGTTTGAAGTTTTCTCCTTCCGAGGGTTCTACTCTTGGCTCAGGCTTGACAAAAGTTGAAGCCTGGCTTGGCCTTGAGTCATTTTTCAGAAGTATTCTCTTGATCAACCTCCCTCCAACATCAATTTTCTGATTTTGTCTTGAAGCCGAAAGATTAATTTCTGGTTGTGGTGGAGGGTTCTACAAATACCATTGATAAATGAGAAGCTGTACATGGCTTATAATTCTGTCTATAACTATCAAAACACAAGATAGTCTACACAAGTTTCTTAAAGAGCTTACATCAGGATTGTCTCGGTCTTTTGGTTTCAGGAGCAAAATCTTTTTCTTCCCAGAATCCATAGTCAATGCAATCCCTGGGAGAGAGCTATCTATGGCAGAGGCTGTAGTCGAGTAGAAAAGAAAATAAGTTAGAAAGACAGTGGGCCTTATACGAAAACTGGAAAATACATAACTAGCTAGTCAAGAATAACTAAAGAAGTTGATTGATTACCAGTATCCTTTTCTGGTATTTCCTGCTTATGATATTCTTGCTTAGAGCTGCCAATATCTAATGTAGCCTTCCGGGACAGAATTTTTGTACTCTCCTTTTCCACATACTATAAAGAAAATAAAATATTTACAATGGGCAGAAAATTCTCTAATAAGAAGGTAACAGACAAGTAAATTGGCAGACTACACCAATTATTCACTCCTAGAAGGAGACACACCTTTTTCTTTTCAGAGTTACGTTTTGAGGGCCTTGGACTTGGCTTGTTAGTAGAAACTGCTCTGGCTCTTCTACCTCCTCTTCGGACATCTGATAAACCCTGTATGTTAAACAGAAACCAGAGTTCAACAACAAAAGCTCCCTTCAGGAATGGATAAACTACAAAGATATCGATACCAAGAAGCCCTGATTATCCACTAGGTAGACTAGGTGAAAAGAGCAAAAACGTGAACTACGTACCTGGGATCCCATCACAGTAGCACGTTTTTGACGTATGAATTCCATAAGAGGGGTAATAATAGGAGCCGCTTTTGAAGCACCTAAAGAGTAATTAGTAATCTCCATCAACTCACTAAAGAAATAACGAAATAACGAAAGCGATAGCAAATAGAACTCGTTTCTAACCAGACTGCTCAGCTTCTCTTCTTTCCAACTGGATTTCAGCACTAGGGAGATTCTCAACAGGTTGAGCAATCAACTTAAGGAATTCCAAATAATCAGGATCCTTACTAATAGACCCTTCGCGAAGATCTTTCTTATCAGCAGGTGTCGGCACACGCTGCGAAGGTGCATATTCAACTATAGCCTTATACTGAGCACCTAAATCAAAATAAAACCACATACTCACATCTCCAAATACAACTACAAAACACATGCCAGTCACCAGACAAAGACTAATCCAAAAAAAAGTCAAATACCCTTTTCATTAACAAACACATGCCCGTTGAAAAATGCAGCGAACTCATAAACATCTTCTGGTTCCTCGAAAGCTACGTAGGCCCTTGAACACTTCTGATTCCTATAGCTGAACAAACCAAAAACACACACAAATCACTAAAAACTCAATACTTCAGAACACAATTTCACTAAAATCAACTAAATCACATAATCAAATCCAACAAAAATCTTCAATTTCCCTAACCAATCACCTTCCTCAATTACAAAAAACCGTAACCCTAAAATTCGTGAGAAACCCATATACTCAAAAATTTTTAAAAAGACCCAACAAAATTAAGAACCCTAACCTTGACTTGCCGGGACGAAACGAAACCCAATTGTAACGATCACCGAAACGAGGATCAATCTGAGACAAGAGATCGGACTGAGAAAGAGAAGGGGGCAAGTGGCGAACAACCACCTTCTTCTTCTGTACAGGTTCCTTCATCAAAAAGATTATTCAAAGCCCCAAATCAAAGAGGAACACGATGAAGAAGACGAAAAGTGAAACAACACATCAAGACGCAGTGAAAACAAAAAAAAAGATATCGCAACGCAATTTTGCCCTAATTTTGTTTCCTCTCTTCTTCCTCTTTGTCTATAAAACTCTCAGCTAAAAATAATTAAATTGAAAAAAAAAAAAAAAAAATCGCATAAATTTCGAAGTCGGAGACAAATCAACCTGCCGGTCTACGTGGACTTTTGAACCTTAATGGGCCGTAATTGGGCCTTTAGTGGACTTTTGAACTTTTTGTCTCACCCGTTGGATTGAGGTTTATTAAAGTCTTCTCATATAGACCGTAGGATGAAGAGTTGATAATGACATCGTACGGTACATAATCACTCTAATAAGGTGAACCGCGTCACAGGTGATAACTACCACATTTTACTTTGGAACACGAAGACTTCATTGGCTTCGGGTCTAGTCAGGTTTTACTGGTTCGGTATAAATATCGTCCAAAAGAGATTTTTATTTTTATTTTGCAAAGATTTTTGTTTATCTAAAAAATCTCTCGTCGCTTTAGCTTCTCCACTTTTTAAGCAAGTAATCTTCTTTCTTCTCTTTCGATCGATTTGATTCTGTGGTTTGTTTTTGTGATTGTTCTGGTTCTGTTTTGCTCTGTTTTGGTTTTTGATTTCTCTTAGCAAGCAAGTAAAGATTCGAATTTGGTGTGTTAACTTGTTGCGATCGTTGCTGTTTTGTGTTTGTTGATCAAAAGATCATTACTTTAAGTTGACCCTTAAGCGATCTAATAGTTGTTTTCACTGTTTTTAGGTATATGAGTTTGGTAGAGATGGGTGGTGATTTGATGGAAGATGATTGGGAATTTGCGGCGTCGTCGAACCTTAACCGAACCCTAGTTCTTGTCGGACGTACTGGGAACGGAAAGAGTTCAACAGGGAATAGTATCCTTGGGAGGAAAGCTTTTAAGTCGAGAGTTAGAACTGTTGGAGTGACTAGCACGTGCGAGTCACAGAGAGTTGTTCGAGATGATGGTGAGATCATTAATGTGGTTGATACTCCTGGTAAGCTCTGCTCACTCCCACTTCATTATTTTCTATGAATGTGATGCTTCTTGAATGGGATGGTAATAAACTGGTGAATATTTTGTATAGGTTTGTTTGATGTGTCCACTGCAGCCGATTTTATCGGTAAGGAGATTGTGAGGTGTATAAGTTTGGCTGAAGATGGGATTCATGCGATCTTGTTGGTGTTTTCTGTGAGGCGGCTTGGTGAAGAGGAGAAAACTGTGCTTAGTTTCTTGCAAGCGCTGTTCGGTAGTAAAATCGCTGATTATATGATTGTTGTTTTTACCGGTGGTGATGAGTTGGAAGAGAATGATGAGACCATGGAGGACTATTTAGCTGACGCCTGCCCTGACTTTCTCAAAGTAAGCATCTTTGGCTGTAAGGATAAAGAAATGTTTTGTTTTTTAGTATGTTATATTTGAATTGTGTATTGTAGGAAATTCTTGAGCTATGTGACAATCGGGTTATATTGTTTAATAACAAGACTAGCAATAAGGCCAAGAAAGCTGAACAACTTGAGAAGCTTCTTTCACTTGTTGAATCTGTTGTTAAACATAACAATGGTAGACCGTACACAGATGAGTTGTTCCACGAGCTACAGGTGAAATTGTTTGCTTTCCCTTTACTTTCCTAATCAAAGCAGAGAGAGACCTAACTGTAGTTGCATTCTCAGGAAGAGGGTATCAAGCTAAGGGAGCAGAAAAAGGAGGTTGAAGCGCTTAAGGGTTACTCAAACAATGAGATATCTGAGTTCAAGAAGCAAATCGATATGTCTTATGACCGGCAGCTTACCCGTATCACAGAGATGGTACTTCTATTTTTCATTCTTTATACAACAATGTTGAGTTTTCATCTTTCTAAAGTGGTCATAATACTATATACACCCACTTAATATACATTGATAGTACAGTCCCTTCTGATTTACCAAGTTGGATGTATAAGCAAAAAGATTTGGTGGTCCATTGCTTTCATTGAGCATCAAGCTTCAACTACCTTTTTGTTTTTCTTCGTGCAAATCAACTGACATCTTTATGATTCCTCAACCACATGGTCCTAAGCTATAAGTTGTTGTGGTTTCTTGTTGCTGTTCAGGTGGAGAAAAAACTGAGAGAAACAGCAAAGAGGCTGGAGCAGCAACTGGGTGAAGAGCAAGCCGCAAGACTTGAAGCGGAAAAGAGGGCTAACGAAGTTCAGAAACGGTCAAGCGATGAGATTAAGAAGCTGAGAGAGAATCTGGAGAGGGCTGAAAAAGAGACAAAAGAGCTCCAGAAAAAACTGGGAAAGTGCATCAATCTGTGAGATGCTGAATTCTGAAGCTTCAGTGAAATCTGATAAGGGTTTCATATGGTTTTTAGGTTTTATCATCAAAGTCTTAGTTGTGAAAACATAGTAATACTTATGTATATTTTCCATCTTTATTCTCCTCCAATGTCATGGACCAAAGTTCATTCTTTTCTTTTTATTTTATATTTTGGTGGAACTTTATTTATTTGGTTTTCAATTAAGTGTTCTTTGAGAAAAAAACACTCTTTCTCGACTCTTTATTAAATGAAATGAAAACAATCGCCTTACATAGCACATAACACACATTATAACATAAGTACAAGAAGCAAATCAAACAATGGTAAAGGCTACGAATGAAACTGAAAGAGAAGCAAAAACAGACTCAGAACACGCCTGAAGACAAAGTGTGAAGTGTGTGTGTGTGTGTAACTTTTCAACGAGTTGGGGCATTCAGTGAGTTATCAGAGAATGCAACACTCGTTTTCTGCTTCAAATTTGCTATGCAACTTTTCTTGCATTTCCATCTTTTCACGGAAGCCCTTCTCCTGCAGTTTTTCTCTTTGTTCAAAGAGCTTCTCTTGAGCTTCCATAGCTATTTTTATGTTTCTTTCCATCTGAGGAAAACATAAAACAGATCTCGTTAATGTCCAACTTTCAACAACACTTATGTCGAGGTGTGAAATGAATAGGAAGGAGTTTATAATACCATCTCTGCCACTGTCTTGAGGTTCATATCTTTACTTATCTCTAACATCCTCATCAATTCTGTGAGTCGTTCTTCCGAATGCGGTTTTGATCTAAGCTCTTCTTGTTGCTGCTTGTACCTATCATTTTCTTCCTGACGAGGGAAGGGAGACCATTTTTGATTTGGGAAATCTAGTTAATGGTGATGCAAATGGAATTAAAAAGAGGGGAATAGGGAAACTAATTTAAAACCTTTATCTTATGGTACATCTCATTTGTATACGGAATATTGTGGTTCTGCTTTCTAACCAGGTCGGTAAGTTTGAGAAGCTCATCGATTTGCTTTTTCTTTTGCACCTCGTCCTTGGTTTTGTTATCGAACACCATCATTCGTTGGCCACACAACACGAGAACTCTCTGAAACAAGCCACATAAAATGAAGTCCTAAGCTAAAACTTCTTTCCATAAAGTTCCATCAAAAGAAACGAGAAGAAATGTGTGATCATTGATCAAATTACAAACCTTTAAGAAGTCCGGCAAATCTTTGCCCAAATATTCCTCAAGTGTCATACCATCTTCTTCTAACACATCACCCCCCGAGAAAACAACGATAAGGTAATCAACAATCTTACTCCCAAAAATGACCTGCAAGGTACTAAGTACCAGCTCTTCCTCTTTTGTAATCCGATTCGTCACCGATAAAACTAATAGCACAGCATGTATCCCTTTTTCCGCTAGGGCTAGGCATCTAACCAGTTCTTTCGAAACAAATTCATACGACACTGATAAATCAAACAAACCTGCAACCAATTCCACATTAATCAAGTACACTTACATAATACACATAGTCACATACATTAATAGAAATATGCAAATCATGACAACGTACCAGGAGTGTCAATCACATTTAGTATCGGGCCATCTGGTGTCACTGCTCTTACGGACTGACATTTCATTGTAACACCTCCTGCTCTTGTCTTCGACTGGAACACCCTTTGTTTGAGGATGCTGTTCCCGGTCGCGCTTTTCCCGTTCCCTGTTCGCCCAACTAATACTATGTTTTCGATCATATGTGTCTGTGATGCCGCCGCGTATTCCTTCTTAACCTCTTCTTTCTCTTGAGCTACCACATATTCCTTCTTATCATCTTCTTTCTCTGGAGCTGCCACATATTCCTTCTTATCATCTTCTTCCGGTGGAGCTGCCGTATTATGATCGTTAGTGATGACCATTTGGGAGATGTTCCTTTGACCCTTATACAAAGAAAAAAATCAATTATCAGCTAGTAATTAACAACGTTGAAAAGCTTTGATCTTTGGTAGAACTATACATAATCCTACATATATCCTTAGGAGAAACTTTTATGTGACACAAGTTACTAATCATATTTCTTTTAAATATACACGAGAAACTTTGTAAATTTGAGTATATGTAAACTGTGAAACCATACAAATTGTTCTAAGAAAAATTATAAGGAAAAAAATATGTGGAAGAAAAAGTTGTGTGAAAATGGCGCTCTTATCAAACCTTTTAGCAGATTGGTGGCAGAAGTAGTTAATCACAAAGCTGGTTTTGAACTTTAAATAGAGCAATTTGAAGTCTTTCAAAAAAAAAAAAAAATTATATTAGCTCACATGCAACGTTTGCCACCCAATTTGACTATTCTTTTTTTTTTTCTTTTTTTTTCACTTTTATTCTAATTTTCTAAAAACGAATTTTCCATAAGTTGCCTTATATTTACATTTCATTCTCTTTTAAAAAATAATTTCATTAAGTTTTAGGTTGGTGTCTACTAGAGAAGAAAGAAAAAAATAGGAAGAACATGCAAATATAAGAATGTATGAAATGAATTTCAAATTTTGAAACAAGAAAATGAAAATTTGAAGAATGAGAAATTGAGAGTAAAATATTATGGATATAGGTCAATGTTTAATGAAGCATAAATTATATATTAAATTGAAAATAAAAGATATATGAAATTTTGATGAAATTTACATGATATTTACATGAAATTTTGATGTTATTTAATGAATTTATCAAGTTCGTGGTACATATTAAATTATTAATATATATTTAAACTGAAGTAGGAATATGAAGCTATTATTTAAATACGAATTTCTCTTAAACAGATCTCTCATATTTATTTGATTTTTGTTTTGCGAAATACATTATCCCTTTTCAAAACTGTCCATTTCATCTATACATTTTCAAAAATAGATCTTTTTAAATATGTGAAATTCTAAATTTTATAGGGGTACTTATAAATTTGTAAACATAAAAATAGTATTATTGAATAAAGACAACAAGAGAGAGTATTTTTACAAAAGGGCACTAAATAGGTTATTTTTGCAAATATATATAACTTATACTTAGAGATTTGATCCACATATTTACAAACTTTAATAAGGATTTTAAAGGTAAATTATTTTTACGGTATATATAAAATTATATAAACATATCAAATTAATTTGTGTATATTTTTATAAGGTTACACATATATTTGGATAAATATAAAAATGGTTTTGATATTGTTGATAAGTTTTAGAAAGTCAGATTTTTTAGAAATGGTATTGAAAAAATATTATCTTTGAAATACTCCTTATTTATTTTATCGTTATAAAAAATATTGTTATCCACTAATATATCTAAAAATATCTTGAAGTTTGTGTTGGTAGAATTTTCTAAGGTGGATCTTTGTTCTACGAATAAATCATCTGTTGTGTTTGTAGCTTGACATTAAAAGTGTTACTAACTGATTTGTTAAAAAAAGTTTTTTTTTTCCAGCTAATAACTTTATTATAAAGCGTTCGAATCATCGTTTACAAGAGATGCAAGAAATGTTGGACATGAATGATACAAATTATAATCACTAGAGCTCTCCAAGGAATATTTTGCTAGTTTATCGGCACATTTGTTCTGCTCACGGTTAAAAAAGGTTAAAAAGGTTATTTTGTCATATAATCCTTTTTTACGTCAGCGAAGTTTAGATTTTTTTAATCAAATTTAATTATATTAATAATAATATTTTAAGTTTTTTTTGTTAAAAAATTTATTAGGTGTAGATGACAAAAAAAAAAAAAAAATTTATTAGGTGTACTTAAATGGTTTACCTAAAGAACCATATTCAACCTGATACAAACAGTTAAATTTAAATGCTTGTTAAGATCCACTTTATGATCACTGGATTAGAAATATTTTAATCTCATTTATTACATGACTCTGAATTATTGGTTAAACACACATCTTTTGTAAAACATTCTCGCCTCATAAAATATTTTAGTATTTTAGTAGAATTGATATGGCACCTCAGTATTTTAGTATCATGATAGTGCATGCCGAGATGTTTAAAATAATTAATTTAGTCATCTATATCACACAAATGCACGTATCTTTTTGTTAATTATTGGAAGATAAAAAACCAGAGATAGACCGAGATCGACGGTTGAAAAGATAAAGCGAAATTATGGTAATAAGAAGATATTATTCTAGAAGATATATGATAAATATCAATATTAAGTTTAGGAAAATTAACATTATTTTTAGTTATATTATTTACATTTATGTTTATCTTAATCTCTATATAAGAGAATGTAAGTTGTAACATTATATTCATGAGAGTAATATAATTTTTTTTCTAAACATTTTTGTGTTCTTTACTCTTATCAATTTATCATTAACCACTACAAGAGAGATCTACAGTTAAGCGTGCTTATTCTGAAATAATTTTCAGATGGATGACTTCTAAAAAGTAATTGTGGGAACCATGCAACTGAACATAAAACAAAGCAAAGATCATCATATTGTGATTTGTAGGGTTGATTAATAAGTCTTTAAAGCCTTCTAAACGTAGCACCTATCAAACCAGCCATCATATAAGGTTGGGTTTACGGGTTATGCTTGATTAATTTTAGGATGGGTGACCTTCTAGGAAGTAATTCTCAAAACTGTGCGAGTGAGAAAAAAAACATGGAAAAGATCACGTGGTGATATGTGTAACGCCCGTGTCTGAAGTTTTGTTAAAGTCGATCGACACCAGGGTTGGGTGTTGGTCGACACCAACAAAATTTGGTTTGACCAGTTTGTTTTAATTTGGAAAATTGATTTGGGTTTCTTTGGCTAAACCCTAAGGATCATTTAAAAGAGAAAATTTGATGCATTGAAGGGTTATTAACCGCTTTTGTTCTTTCAGAAGAGTGGAAAAAGTTACTAAGTTTTCTTGTGAAGTTCTATGGGTTTTTAGAGAGATTTGGGGTGTTGTTCTTGAGAGTTTTTACCTAAGGAAAGGGAGATTTTGTGTTTGTGGTGTTATGAGAGACTTATGCTGCTTCTGATTGTGTTATTTTCTTCATTATTCATTGTGTTATTTTTTCATTGTTCATTCCATATCAAGGTGAGTGCGTGAGCATGACTTATATAAGCATTAAGATTATGTGATGTGTATTCATTTGATGTGTGGGTTTATTTCCCTTGTTGTTTTATGTGTTTCTGGTGTTTGTGTGGCTAATCCTTGGTTGTGTCGTCGCGGGAGATGATGTGGTGGTGATTTTAGGGTTCTTTGGGGATGAAATCGTCATTGGATGTGTTCTAGGGTGTGGGTGCCGACCGACACCAGACGGTTGTTCGTAGTGCATTTTTGTGGTGATGTCGGGTAGTGGTGTCGATTGAGACCAGGTGTGGGTATCGACCGACACCAGTTTTCTGTTAGCACAGTTTGTGTTTTTTGTTTTACTGGTTTGGCTGTTTTTGGTATTATTGATGTGTAATCATGATCTTAATTGTTTGTGCGTATAGCCTAGTAGATGGGAGGATTGCTTCACTGAGTATTTGTGATAATAATCATGCATCTCGTTGTGTTTGTGGTACATGTAAAGTGTGACGTGAAATCATGGCAATGAAGAGGAGGATGATCTAGGGCCTTAGTTGTTGTGTTTATGGTTTTGTTATGATGTTGGAACCTGGATTAGAAGTATGCTAAATTATTGGTGTAAATTGTGATGGAATGATTGGTTAATTAATATTATGATTAATTAGAGTTGGTTTTATTGTTTCTGCTGTGCATAATGGTTTATTTAGATAATCTATATTAACTTTGTAAGTACATTTTGGGTATAACTTTTCATTTTATAATATTTGCATAATTGAATCCTTGCCATTTGATTAAATAACAAAAGTTTAAAGTACATTTTGTAATTAAATCATTATGAAATTGCAATATTAGAAATCAGTATTTATAACATTTAAAAAAATTCCTAAAATTATTCCCTAATAAATCAAATATATCTCCAATATATATCTTTATATGATCTTATTTGTTTTAAAATTTATATTATTACATAAAACATATATATAATAGAAATATAATTTTCACATATGTTGCAATTTGAATTTATAAAAACGGGCTTATATTAACCGATACAAAAAATGTATGTACTAAAGTATAATTGGTAATTGTATAGCACAGATCATGCAATGGAACAAGTTATAAATTACATAATTATGATTATAGATGTTTTTACGAATTGTCTACTATAGTATAACTCACAAAATATTTTACTATTTAAACAAAAGATGTTATGCCAATATCATTTCATTATTTTAAATATTATACTTATTTAATTAAGTTGATCAAATTACGATTATATAAAACACAAACTGTCATACAATATTCTACGGGTTAAAACATAGAGCAATCAAAATACACTCTTATATATCAAACAAAATTAATAAATAAAAACTTTATAAAATATCGTCCGGTTAAAATTTAGTTGTTGGATATTTGTTTATTGGATTGGTTTATGGTTTATTCTTCCGCTGGTTTAGTTGGTAATTGGAATTGGATTGGTTTAATTGGGTTTATCGGTTTAATCTGGTTTAGTAAGTTAAATTTGATTTGAATTGGTTTAATCTAGATTAGGTGGTTTAGTGTAATTTAATTGGTTAAAAAACGGGTCGGGTTTTTTCAATATGTAAAGTCGATAAAATAAGATTTTAAAGCCTTTTAGATGTAGCAAACTGACCGTCGGATAAAGTAAGGCCTTTCGGGTTGAGGGACGACATGGAGCACTTAAGGAAACTGACAGTCAAATCATTACAATTGATTTGGTTATCTATGTCATTAAAATGCACTTATCCTTTTGGTCAAATGTTTTGAGATAACTTTATAGTTAATCGTGTTTAATATGCTTATTGTTGGAATATGTTCATAATAGATAACCTTTCGGAAAGTGATTGTCGGAACCGTGCGAGATAGGAC